TTGCCCCGATCCAAGTGCAGCACCCTGCATATATTTTATGACTGCAGTCAGAGAAGAAGCCTGGAGCTTTTAATAATTATAAACATGTTGAGAATGCATTTTTCTTCAACTGAAAGACATACCTCAAAATGTTGTCATTTTAACTTACCCTCTTTTAATAGACTCTAGAAACTGAGCATTTTTTGGGTCTGTATAGGATCTCAACTCGCCATCATCTAAACTGAAGCCATTCCTCCATAGTTTCAGCAAAATTTGAACCTATGAAGCAGAAATGGTTAAATTAAAAAAAGCAAAGACAGACAAATAAGGTATTTCAATTTCATACAGGTCAGCTATACAATTTTTGTTCTATACTTAACACATTGTGTAGCAGACCACAAACAAGAACACAAATGACAAAAGAAGAACAGAGCACTGCACTGTAAATATCATTGTTAGAACCCTTTAAGAAAAGCAAATAATACGTAGAGACTACTACCTATTTCAAGACCACTTTTACACTTGGGGAAAAAGAAGATCTTAATCTGCCATCCATGACATAACAGATGATACAGTCACTCTGCAGTGATCTGCATAGTGTTCCAACTACTTTCAAAAACAATATATGCTTCTTGTTGATAAATTTAGAAATAAATCCATAAAATTACAAATTACTGCTGTTACATCAGTTACAGTGAAAACTATTCTTTCCTCAAATTATTACATGCTGACCTCCACTGAAGTAGATACTAGCGTCACTCAGTTCAAATGCTGAGAATCCTGCAAACCTGTCTCCTTCACTCCCTTCTTTTTTTGTTGTGTGCCTGAATGTCCAGCCAGAGCCTTTCACCTTCGGAGCCTGCATCCCTCTTCCCTGCAAGTGCCTTGCAGTCCAGCACAACTAGGCTTCCCTAGCCAGTAAAACTGACCTTCCCTTCGAAAATTGTCCCAGACCCACTTATGGTAACCCCATTGCTACAGGCTTCAGCTCAGTAGAGCTGACTTATACTTAGAGGGTAGGAGGATTACTTGAGAGGGTAGAAGGCAGCAGCTCCAGGTGTGACATGATAGCACCCTCCCCACCTGAACAACATCCCTTGGCCTTACTCATGTCTTGGTTTTGGTTCTAGGTTAGCTTAACATTTGCTCCAGCCATTCACACAATTGGCAAAGCACAGAGAACCTTGTTTTTCCCCACACTCTCCCTCACCTCCTGCTTTTTAAGCGAGAGGAAAGAAAGGCCAAACAAAAGGAATCTAACCTGCTGCTTCACCATTCCTAGAATACAATCTCCAGTTTGAGACTGGCTAATTTGCAAGCCACAGCAAGAAACAATTCCTAACCTAAGAAGACTAAAATGTTAGCGTAGCTAAGAGAATGCAGAACAGCTGTAGGAAAGTAATTGAAAGGAATGTCTGCTAAAAATTTCAAAGTAATTTATGTCAGAAAATTCCATAATGGAGGCATTACAGATATTCAATGAACATCAGTCCTCTGTGGACACTTTAACAATTTCTACTTAACTCATACCTAATATTTAGATATTAGTTTTTCCTCATTGACATAGTTACAGTAATACTGGCATTTCAAGCTGTAAACATGACTATGCAGACATCTGCTGGCGATTCTTTTTCCTGATATTAAGAATTTTACTTACGTCTTGGTTTTCTCCATATATGTATTCAGAGTGCTTTTGTGATGAGTCACCCAACCTATATCCACCACCAGAAAATGACTGGGAAAAAAATGCATAGAAAAACTTATTGAAATAAATATCTGGAATGGTTTATTAAAATTCTTACCTAGGTGCAAATAAAAGCCTCAGCAAGCTTGCTCCTGTGATAAAAAGCAAATACACTGTTCTAACCTGTGTATTTTCTAAGTGGAAAATTATACCTAGTAACCATAATCAGGCTAAGCAGGTTTTATGGGATGCATTTCCGTTTCTAATCTGTATACTTTTTTCAAACATTAGTAATTCAACAGATAAGAAATTTTGACTGGGATGCAACCGCAGTTTATTTTTTTTAAAAATCAATTTTAATTTAAAATAAGGCAACTAATACCAGTTCAGGTTGATTTCTAATGATTCCCCCTGAAACTGTATGGTTCCTCCCTACTTTATTTTCTAGAGTGAGGTATTTGAGGACAGATAATACACAACTGTGTTGATCAAATCCTCTGCTATTCGCAAACCACAAAAAAGTCTATTTGCTCTCATGTAGTTAGATGAGTTTCAGAAAGACTAATGTAAACAGAGATCAAAGTATCTTTAACTTTTACCTTAGCTTTACTGTAATCACCAGATGCTCTTGAGGACTCATCTAACGGGACAGCCCCATGTTCTTTTGCTTCCTTGAAGAGTTCAGCAACAATTTTACTTGGATTATTAGAAGCCCCAGAAATCTGTAATGCTCTATATTCCGAGTCACCTGAATAAAATCTTTAGAATAGTAATGTTCATAAGCAATACTGTTTTATATGACAAACATAATATCCCTCTTCCCATCAAAAGAAAAAAAACATTATGACCAAAGAGCCAAATTCAGCACAAAACCTTTTCATTCTTACCAAAGAAATCTTCCACTTGGTTCTGACCTTCGCAGTAATACTTCTGGAACAGACGTGAGAGGTTAGGGGCTGAGGCCATATGTTTAAGTGAACACAGCCCTGATGCAGCCGAGGCTTTATACATCTCATCTTATGTGGATGCCTCCTGCTCCCAGAAAGACCGATGTCCTCAGGGGTGTCCTGTGCATGGGACCATGCCCCGGCTGGTTAGGATACAGATTCATAACTAACGCTAACACTGTCTTGGCAGAACAAGCCTAAAACTGTTGTTGGAAAACCTAAATAATGCCACAATTCGATCTTTGAATTTAAAAATTTAGTATATTTCTATTCCCGCCAATATCAGAAATTGAAAGTTTTAAAACAATTTAATTAACCTTTCAAGGCATTTTAAAAAGCTGCTGTGAAAGCTAATTTGTGTTCTTTTTCTTCAACACAGCCCCACTCCCAGCTCTTGAAGATAACATGTAAGAGAAAATAATTCTGTTCAAAACTTTATCTGTTTGAGTATGAAGATCAAGATATTCCTTCAAGATTATCTTGAGGAAAACATGGTAGATTTCTAAATACCAATGGAACATGTAATGTAAAAAAATTTGTATATAAATACAAAACCTGTCAAACCCGAAAGTGTTTTGTCTTTGATTATAAGAAGCGCTAATAACTAATAAAATAGGTGCTTTCTACTTTCCTTAACTTTTTCACTTAACCACATGTGAAACTGTCTCTCAGGCCAATTACTTCAAAATGCTGTTGATTTCACCATATTTTACAATTACCCAAAACCAGTAGCGGGTATGAAGGTGCTGTATCATCCTGCTTTTATACCATCTAACCGGCAATCCCTTAGTATCATCTCTCCTTTGCACATAAATCTGTATTTAGTATCCCAACTGCCATTTATATGGAAAATCTTTCATTATTAGATTTAAAAGAATTACAGTGGTAGGGAGATGAAACAAGAATTCTCATCAGAATTTGTATTCAAGAAATAAAGCATTCAAATATTTGAGTAATAGACATACAGAACAATTCAGGATACCTGAGAAAAGGCAAAAAAGCTTTTGAGTCCCAGTGTAAGTTACAACTTTTACATCCATACAGTCACTTGTTAAGGCATTGGCAGGTCCTAGATCACTACAGCCAGATTCTGCTAAACATAGTTTCACTACAGCAGTGTACAGCTAACACTTCAATAAGTCACATAGCACCTCTAGTTACTAGCTCTTTGCAGGATACACTTAGCTCACACATATTTTGAAAAACTGGGGGGAAGCAAAGTGTAAATGTCACAAAAAACTCCAATTACTTTCACAATTGTTAAATGACTTTTTTTTTGTTTTAAAAATACCTTTGGTTTTCTTTGTCATCGCTCATGCTTCTCTCTGGTTTTCTCAGCCTTCTAAGAGAATCAATTTTAAGACTGCCAAGAGAATAAAATATAAAGTTTGAAGATGACTGGTACATATACTTCACCAAGTACTTCCTATCTAACTTCTGAAACGACTTATTCTTCAAAAACTAAGGATATCAAGTTGTTGGGGTGTTTTTGTTCTCACCATACTTTTTTTTCTCCCAAGTACAGAGCCATGGATGCTTCTCAGAGAATAAGCAGTAAAGGGCATGTGCATGGCAGAGTCATTTTGCAGCAACAGTTGGACTAGATGACCATTTTAGGTCCCTTCCGACTCAACTATTCTATTCTAGCACAGGCTACACAGAATTCCGCTTTACGGTGGTCCCACAGATAACACAGGTAATATACAAGCTCAACAGCTGTTTCAGAACCTAGTTTACCAGAATTAATTACACTGCAAATTCTGTCCACATTTTAGCTGGTTTTGTCAAGACACAAGTTGCCTGATGACATCAACATTGGCTTTCTTTGATGCCCTGGAGTCCCTGTCTATGAGGATCCTAAAAATTAAAAAGTTCTCACTTCTATTTTACACAAGTTTAAAAATACATTGAATGGCAACATCACAAAGACTTTCAAAAGATGATTAAAACGCAGAATCAGATTCTGTTTTATGATAGGGACAGACTGATAAGCTACCACAGACCAAGCTACGGTTGTCAGCTTGCAAAATGCCCGGAAAAGATGTTTTTATCCTGTAGTAATTGATGATAAAATTCATTAACGCAAGATGTATGTGAGGGAGCCGACTACCGTGGGATAAGAACATACACACAATCTGCTACATGAGTAATGGCAGATCACTAGTTCAGATTTACGGAATTTCTCTGATTACTATACCTTTGAAATCAAAGTGTAGCAGAGCAGGCCACTGCTTTTTTAAGTATCAGTGTTGATAAAACAATGTAATTCTGTATCCCAGTGAAGGATCCCCTTCTTATTATTTCTCAGAAAAAGATGTATTGTTATGGACTTAGGTCATGGGCACTAGAAATGCTTTTATCTCTTCTATTTTCTTCCTTTGTTGCATTGTAGGTTTTGTGGGGCTTGTATTTTTGTGACAGTAGTCTTAAGTTTCTTAAAGGAGCTTACATAACATGACAGCATATACAATATGGTGTTTGTTCCAGCAGGACCCAGAGACATTCTTCTATACCTGCAATTGTGGAAAGCAAGACGTGTAGATGACTTCAAGAGCAGCGCTACGTTTCCTTGCAATTAACACACTGCTCACCTGAGAGCAAACTGAAGTCTACTGAAAGAAAAAAGTCTCATTTTGGATACCATGCAAATAGCAGCCATCTCTTCTTTCTCAGACAGATTCCAGTATGATTGCCAATAAAAAGCAAGCATATGCCAATGGCTATCACACTGAAGTATTTGAGATACTGTATTGCAGCTTCTCCTTCCGTTGGAGTGAGAAGTTGTAACTTCATGATATGTGTTGGTAAATGGAGCTGTTTGCTTTATTCGTCTATGAACTGTGTTCTATGTAGCTGGTAAGTCAACTTAGGTGGTTTCATCAAAACAAACGAAAAAACCTCACTAAAAAGCTATTACTTTCCAAGTGTCACATACTGTGCTAAAACCCCCTTCCTGAAGATCTGCATTTGCAGATGCACTTGAAGCACGGCTCTGGTAACTATGATCTTTTCTGCTGCTTAACCTCCTTTAAAACAGAGATCCATATCCGCAGCAGCAACTGAAGGACAAGCCAAATACAAGACTTGTTACAGCATCACTGACAGTAACAATTAAAAGACTTCTCTTATTTAAAACAATTTAATTAACAATGAATTTAAAACTGGCAAGATTTCTTTATAAAAAAATTAAAACTACATTGAATCTTCAAATGCTACGTGAACTGCAAACACCGCAGGCCAGCAAAAGTTGGATTTATACACAGATGTATGTCTTTCCTTCCACCTGCCAAACCCAGACAAATTCACTAAGAAGCCCTTCTTATTTCTCTCACCCCATAGGAGCCTATTGCTGAACCTACAAATAATTTTTCAAATGAATATTTGTCTCATCAGGTAGTGACATAAGTACAACATTCAAAGCAGCTCACCTCCCAAGTTTAAGTAAGTATGACAAAGTTTTGTGAGCTAGTACAGCACCTATTCAACACATTTCTGAAGTACAAAGCACGTCTTACCTCTGGGATACTTTTGTGTTACTGATCTTTGCAGTTGTTGGTTTGTCAGGATACAATGACTGCCTTTTAGCTTCATCTTCATATAACTCTGCCAAGGCCAACTGTAGAAAAAAGAACCTCTTTTTAGAAGTCTGTAACTCTATATGGAACTACAGTAAATATGGAACAGACATAAGGCAAAAACTAATGCAAAATGTGCACATCACCAGAAAATTAGGAACATTAACATGAGAAATCCCAACTACTTCTCTAAATTCAACCTCCTTTCTGCTTTATGAAAAAAAACACATGATGCTTATTGCCATTGTGACTTGGAACTTGTACTCTGCTGTAATTTGGTTCACACTGCTTCACTAGTTACATTCAGCCTGCATTACATTCAGAATTGCAAGAGTACACACACACATATATATATTAAGCATCATCTCATTAATGCTAACAAGCTAAAATAAAGTGCTAGCAAACCCTCTGATAAGACTGGGAAGCAAATAATAAACTTTACAAACATTTTACACAGAAATGGAAAAAAATGTAACTCAAATAAGCTTATACTGGAATTAAGAACCAATTCAGCCTTGCCAGCTTGCATTCAAGAGATCGTTGCAAATCCTTAAAAAAAAAAACCCCAACTTTTTTCCCACAGGTTCCTCAAACGCTGCCGGATCACTGGCAAGTTCATTTTCAGGAAGTCGTGCAAGGCACATCTAACATGTCATTTTTAGCAATCTTACTTTTGTCCTGAATAATACTCTGCTTTGTTTGACAAATCATCCTTAATGTTGTTCCCAAACTATTTTGTTCACACTACGCAAGTGATACTAACATTTTATCATACGCACCAGAATAGGTACTAGGCTACAATTTCACTACAGTTTCATGTATGAATGTTTTATTCATTAAAATAAAATGAAACATCATCCGTCCTTCAAAACACACTGCTATGAACACAGGATATTAATCCCATACTATTATGATGCATTTTCTGCACAAGGAGAATATGAACTGAGGAACTATACCCAGTGAGAAAATTAAACTGAGTAACAAGACAGCTCAAGAAAACCACTTAAGGCCTCCATTCTGTCCGAAGATACAAGCAAATATCTTTTAGATACATAAAGCTGATGGAGTAAGTCACAGACAACAAGTCCATAAGCAAAGGAATAGGCAAAGATGTACCCCGTACCGTCCCTAATCCAAAGACTGAGGGATGCTGAGGGAGTGTAAAAGGCATGCTCAGGCTTCTGTGCTTTCCTGATCTCTTATAGTGCCACAACAGATCCAAGTACTTAGCTACATGGACCACCACTCTGACCTAGGAGGGTACTTCTTTGGTTTTTAACATTTTATCAGTAACCCTCTACTCAAAATGCGTGTCTGCTTCAGCTGACTAACCTTATGAACCACGGGCATTAACGCAGCCTTTATTACTGTTACACACTATAGCAAAGTTACTCTCAACAAGAACCTATGAAAATCCCAAATAGCAATCAAGAAAAAAAAAATCCATCTTTCTCTGTTAACTACGTACAATTGAATAAAACGGGGGCAGCTGAAGTCACTAAAAGTTTCACCTGTTTTCCAATCAATTTGTTGCTAAAATATCTGGAACCTTCCTACAATTTCAAAGCCACACACAAAAAAGGGAACACTACGAAAAGCATTTGCAAGGAAGCGTTTAACTACCAATGCTGAGTGACACTTGCCATCACACTCCCTCGAAACCTTCCGCATGTGAACCGGGGAAAAGACCTTGTCCTCAGTGTGGGGACGGCCGGTTTCCCGCGGGGAAGGACACTCCCACCAAGCAATGAGGAAATACAACGGCGCCAAAGTAACTTCAAGCGCAGCTCCGAGCCGGCTCCTGAAGTGTGGGGAGATCCCAGCCCGCTCCCCGGAGAGCTCACCACCCCCCGCTCCCTCCAGCGCCCAGTCCTCTTTCAGAGCCCTCCTT